TTGAACCTCTATTGTTCAATAATCAACATCCAGAATATTTTTATGCTTTCCTTGTTGTTGTTCTGATTAATAAATCTGAACATAACAAACACTATTCTCTTCCAGCAAGAATGTTTTGGGTTTGAATTCTGACCTGGGGTTTTTGTGCATGGTCGACCATTCATTCCTGGGTTCTCTCTATGTACCTTGGCTTCTTCTCAAAGTTCAAAAACATTGCTTTAAAAAAATTTGTAACTTTGAATTGCTCTTCGTTATAAGAGGTATAGTTTACTATAAAGAAGTATAATACATTTATATTTATTTAAAGTCCAGATACTGGCAATTCTGGAGAAGATGTATACAAAACCTTAAGATAAAATATTTTTTTATTACAAAAGCACTGACAAATTCAGGAAAAAAAAATCCTGTGAGGAAGAGGTCAGAGATGAGGTTGAGGATGAATTGGTTGAGGGAGGGTAAGAGAATTCACGTGAGGCTGTTAATTAGCCGCAGTTCAGTAAGTCCACTCAACCAAATCTTCATTTAATTTTAAAACTCTTTAATTTTAATAGGAGTCTCTACAGCACCATTAGAATGTAATATTCTAAGGCAACAGGTGTGCTGTCTTTGAGGACTAGTACAAGTGTCTTCGTAGATATTGGAACAGCACAGTGTGTTTCTCAAAGCTCTGGAATCTTTTCTTTGGTCAAACTGAGGTTAGAGAGCTGCTGGAGAATTTATAATGTGTATTTATTTCCTTTCACCCAGATTCGAAGCCAGTCGCTGTCCTACCTCAGAGAGTCTGTGGCTCAAACAGTAAAACTTCAAAGAGAACAGGTGATGAAGAGGGTGATGATGACAAGCACCCAAGAAGATTTATGAAAACCAAATGCAGGTTAGTTCTATAATGATCACTTTTACTGTTTCTGCTGTGGAAAGCGTGGACTTGGCAGAATAAAAAAGTTTTGTCTTGGCACTGATCTGATTCTGGGTCAGTGAAAAGACTTGGAATTATGAATAATAGTTGGAATTTGAATTGTTAGCCCTCTTGTGTAGGACAGGGGAATTGGTGGTTCCACTTTCAGTCTGCAAGCTTTAACTTAAAAAATATAGTGGGCACTGGAATACACAGGTTTCCTATGATTCACATTTTCTTTAACTTCCTATTTTATTAATTAATTTGTTTATTTTGTAAACAGGTTGCTGTGTATT